CTAGTTGTGCATATATCTTAAAGATGTTATGTTCTTGGATGCTAACCAGAGTAATTGTAAGTTCCCATCCATTCAGAGTAGACATTCTTACCGTCGTGGAAGGAAGTCAATTTTTCCCAAGAGGAAGAAACATGACTTTTAGTCATAAGAATTGACATGAAGTTATCACGAGTGGATGAAGAAGCGATTATTACTCGCTTGGCGAAATTATGGAGCAGATTCGTTATTCGCTAATATTCTAATTACTTCAGAGCTTCGCTTGGTGTCATAGTTCAGCTAATTATTCAATCCTTGCCGTTGTCAAACGTTAATGCCTTGCAGATTCAAGAAGGAAATGAAATGCGTCACGTATTTTGTAACCTGAGCTGTAAGTAAATTTAAGGACTATGATAGCCATAGCAACAAGCTTAGGCCCACCTGGAAATTGAGGTAATACCTATATGGATTCATTAGGATTTGTCTCAGAGGGAGAAATCCACCATGGAAGATGGCTGAAGGAATGATATATGAGAATATCATGAAAGGGATGCAAAGAGTGAGTGTGTAAACTTAAGAATGCCCCTGCCTATTATACAGGGTTGGCCAAAACAAGTAAGCCTCTTTAAATTTTGCTATAAAACCTGTATTTTTCAATTGGTTGCCTTGAAAGAAACATTGCCAAATATGTTCTTCAAGAGCTGGTAAAAGTTCACATGCCAACGACTAGACATGCTTGAGTTATAGCAGGTTTTGTCAAGATGGTAAAATTCTGAGTGAACAGGCATGTGAATGCTATTACAAGGAACATATCCACATAGGCATGGAATGTCTGAAAATGTATGCCCATGCATGACATTTTTAAATGGTGAAAAACATACATTTTACAACATCCCATTGAAAGTGGCTGATTTTTTGAGCCAACCTTGTATATTCAGATTGACTCTTCCCTCCAATGGCCATTTCCTGGTACTGCTCTCTACAGTATTCAGAAGACACCTTTGAATTGTAATTGTCAATATATGGCAGAGAGGTATTGCAATGAGTCAAAAGCATGAAGCAACCTGGATTTTTTTTTTTAATTAGTCCTAAGAATGGGAGAGATCTGGACTGTTCTGGCTAGGACAGATATCATAGATATAATTCTTAAATCTCCTGCACATGCCTACTAAGATAGGAGGCCTCCAGATTTGGAACTTAACCTCTTTGCAACACTGGGTCCTTGAGTTATTTTGGCCTATTTTGAATAGGTTGTCTGGCATATCTCTGCAGAGTGTATAAGGGGCTTTCAGCAGATTAAGAAGTTTATGTGCATTGAAAGTTCCAGATCAAAACCTAGAAATTCATAACTGTTGCCAAATCCCTCTTTTTTTACCAGGTTATGCTTTTGTAAAAAAAAAAAAAATGGCTGAAAGCAGCAAGAATATCCCAGAGGCAGAGAAATATATCAAGCAAGCTGAAAAGGATCTAAAAACTTCACTGTTCAAGTGGAAACCAGACTATGACATTGCAGCTGATGAATACAGCAAGGCTGCCACATGCTACCGATCCAATAGGTGTTTTGAGGAAGCTAAGAAGTACCTACGCAAGGCAATTGAATGCTACCAACAGTCAAATTCATATTTCTCAGCTGGGAAATGCTATGATCAGATTGCACTGATCCTGAAGGATCAAGGAGAATCATATTTGGAGCAAGTTCAAGAGGTTGTTGATAATGCAGCAACATGTTATCAACACCATGGGGCTCTAGACACTGCAGCGTTAGCTTTGGCAAAAGGAGCTCAGATATTGGAGCAGAAGCTGCCTGAGAAAGCTATTCCTCTGTATATGAGGGGAGCAGATATCTCAGTGGCAGAAGATCGAATGAAACAGGCCATTGATTATGTGGGAAAAGCAGCCCGTTTACAGGTCCGAGTGAGGCGATATGATGAAGCAGCAGAGAGTCTACACCGGGAAATGAGTCTCTATCAAGAGAGTGGGAACACAAAGGCATTGGGGAGAGTGGTTACGGCATCTGTGCTGATCCATCTGGGTCGGGATGATGTTGTGGCTGCCTCAAAATGTTTCCAGGAGTGGGGAGGATGGTGTGATGACAGTGAAGCCAATGTCCTCCAGGCTATTGTGCAAGCTGCTGATGAGGGAGATGGTGAGAGGCTTAAGGAGACCCTGGGGAATCCCCTAATAAGGAACATGGACAATGACTATGCCCGCCTGGCACGTGACATTGCAGCTCGCATCAAGGAAACAGATGTCTCTGGCGAAGTGTCACAGGATCTTCAGTCTGGTGATCTGTGCTAATATATCTGCAGACCTATTCATCTCATTGGTGAGGACCTTGTGTATTTGCCAAGGAACAATGCTGTTATGCTGCTATGAATAATTCTGCTCTTTGAAATTAAGTTGCATTGGGATGATGGTGGGTCCCTTAGACTTGGAAAAATTTACCCTTGGAGCCATTGGTATGGTATGAGTATGGCATGTTGCTTCTTGTGATGGTTTTTGCTGAGTCATCAATGTATCTAAGATGGATTATAGTAACTTGAGAAAGACCTTGGCTCATTTGATGATCTCCATCAAGATCTCTATGCATGAAAATTTCCCAATTTGGGTCTGACTTTGAGAGGTTCTCCCAGCTGTTCAAGGTTAATGTTCTTTATTAGAAAAAGTGGAAGAATGCATATAGAGTTGTGTGCAAGTGTATAAGTTGTAAGGAATTCATAACATTTTGTCTAAGACAGACTTGCAATTCTTTCTCATTTATAGTGAGTGAGTAATAACAGTGACATCTACAGTTTCTTTGAACATTCTTTCCTTAATCCATATGAGTTATGTAACATTGGAAGAAAATATGATTGAGAATGATTCCTCTTTTAGATAAAAGAAAATCATTATCACATCACAAAGGTCTTGCTTATTAGTTCTGGCTCAGGCCAATGCATATCAACCCAGGATATATTGGCCAAGTTTTTAATGAGCATTTTTTCAGGCAAGAAAATTTCCAGTTAAAGGCATATTCCCATCATGTTCAAATTCTCCTGTCATTGCTTTCATTTTTGAATGGTACCTTATAAGAAATTATTATGATAACTATGAAATCTGAGAAGTATGTACATGTGGGTAAGGTACAAAAAAGGACTGTTGGTGCAATTTGATCCATTAGCTGCATATATGCACACATGAATCAGAAAAGGCAAGCCTCATAAGTAGGGTAGGCTTTTGGGGGATAGCATTTGAGAGCTTCATTTCTCTTCTCTATCACTGTTGCTCTATCCTACATTTTATAACAAATCTACAAAGTATCCAATATTCCAAGCTTGTATTGGAGATGGCACACTGATGAGTTGGGATTAACCAACTTTAACAGCCTAATATTCATTAGACTCAAACTGAGTGGACTATAGAGTTTTATCAAGTTGAGCTGGATAGTTTCAAAAGAATTTGAGTTGGTGAACTGAATAGTCCTGAATTTCATCAAGTCTGGTAGAGTGAATATTTCTGATTGGGATTATGTGAGGTAGATTCAAGTCAGGAGTGTGGGGGGGCAATGGAAAGGCACAATGTCAATAGTATATGGCATTTTGCTGCACATCCATTTACAGTGTTTCCCTGAGGATGAGCAGCATTAATATTGTTCATTAAAGTAATATTAGCTTCCCTCATCTGTTGAGTTTGACTGAGTCTCTCATGCCAATTATTTTCTGTGACTCATTTAATAGGAAATGTCAATATTAAATTCCTCTCCTCATGGTATTTATAGCTCTCTCACTATCCTATATTCATGCCCTGCTAACATAGTGGCACTTGCATCTTGTTTTTCATATTATTCATCTTATTGGATTTTTTTCCATTGTGATCATGAATGTGTGATAAAAAAAACTCTGATATAAATTGATTTTGGTTGCCTGGAATATCAGGGGTACTCCTTCCTTTCCTTTGGATCTTTGGAACTTAAGAATATGCAGGCTGGGCCATAGATATTCATACTGCATGTAACTTTGCTATTTCTGCTTGCTCAGAAAAATCAAAGAAAAAAAAGGCCATGGTACCAACATATGTCTCTTTGGTGGCTAATCTTGGGTGTTTCAACAGGACTCCTTCTCCAAGTCACATATCACTTGGTACAGTGATAGGGAGGGCATGGAGAGGAACAATTGAATGTCCTGGGTTTTGGTGGTGTAGTGGTTGCATGTCTGACTGGCAATCAGGCGTCCTGGGTTCAATTCCTGGCTGTTCCCTGGCTTTCTTTCCTCCTCTCATGCCATCCAACCTTCCCCTCCTGGCCATTCTCATGACATTGGCACTCAAAAATTTGTCTTGCAGACCATGTAGCAGAAAATATCAGCAAACACAAATGGCTCCCTTATATCTCTGACTAATAGAATAGAAAAGATTATTGTATGTGGAATCTGCTGGAAGAAAATGTAAAAAAAAGGAAATCAAGCAACCCAAATCAATTAAGGCTTGTACTGAAAGAGGAATGGAACCATGTCCATCCAGTGCAATCAACTAGTAACTCAAAAATTCCAGGTTGTTGTCAAGAAGAAGGGGGACACAATATATATTTAGCAGGTAATTACAGTGAGTCTTTGTGTTTCATTGAGTTTCAGTTTGTTTCATGAGAAATTATTTATTTGCAAAGGAAATACAAGAATTCGTTTGGGTGTGAGTACTTATGGCCTACCCTTCATTCTTCTTCAGTAGATACATGCTCGCCAGTGTTCCTTCCTCCACAAGCCAGCAATTCAACGGCACTCACTAGAGTTGAGTAGTTTCCTGCAAACTACTGTGCTGGGATGCTGAAAGGAGCTTTATGTTCACTTTATCTCAAGTCTTGAACCAATATGAAATACCTCAAATTTCTTCAGCTGACAGGAAAGCAATAGCTTTATAGCTTTAGCTGATAGGAAATTAAGACTGGCAATTGTAGAATGACTAGGAGAAGGATTTATGCAGTGAAGTGAGATTGTCTTTTTTTTTCGCCAATGTTTAGAATTCCTCCTTTTCCATTTCTATTCTCTGGTGTGATGAGTTCTGTGAGAAGTATCATAAAATCAATCATCCCACCATTATCATGGGAGAGCTACAAAGGACAAGCTGGACGTATTGGTGTTGTTGGTGGAAGTGAAAATTATACAGGAGCACCTTACTATGCTGGTATATCAGCTCTGAGAGTTGGATGCGATCTAGTTCATGTGTTTTGTTACCCAAATGCAGCCACTGTCATCAAAAGCTATAGCCCTGAATTGATTGTACATCCAATTCTAGGGCCATTGTTTACTGGTGACTCCTTTCGTCTGTGGCTTCAGAGGCTTCACAGTGTTGTAATTGGACCTGGGCTTGGACGAGAACCTACCTTGCTGAATCCAATGGCAGATATGATTCAGGCGGCCAAAGCTCAAGATATCCCCATCATCTTTGATGCTGATGGTCTTTATTATCTTGAGCAACACTGGCATCTCATCCGTGGATATACCAAGGCAATCCTCACACCAAACATTGTTGAGTTCTCCCGACTTGTGGAGTGGGTGTCTGGGCATCCTACACCCACGCTGGAGAATGTCCATGACAAGGCCATGTCATTGGCTGCTGCCCTTGGAAATGTGACCCTGGTGTGCAAAGGGCACAAAGACGTAATCACAAATGGGGTTGAAATAATAATGTGCGAAGAACCAGGATCTCCTCGTCGATGTGGGGGTCAGGGTGATCTGTTATCAGGCAGCTTGGGGACCTTTGCTCATTGGGCTGAGCAAATGGGAAACTCCAGTCAACTACCGGATCGCATGACTGGGAGCATGGCTGCAGCATTGGCTGCTTGCTGTCTCACAAGAGAGTGCAACAGACTGGCTTTTGCGGAACATGGTCGGAGCATGCTCACATCCAACATGGTTGAATCTATCCCGAAGGCTTTCAAAAACTTATTTGATTGATGTTCCCAGTAGTGATTAAACAGTGTGATGAATTTTCTTTGCCTTGCTTTCCTAGATTTTAGCCTAATGTCGCTGCTTCTTCATTAAAAATTCCCTTACCCTGACTTTACTTTATTCTAATTCATCAGTGATTCATGAAAGGAAGCAGCACTTGACTATCTCAGTTCCATAATCTGTCTCTTTGGGAACTTGAATCCCAATGGTGCCACATGGGGCACCAGAATAGAGACTTACTTTGGTATGTCAATCAATATTTCATTCCACAATGAGATAATACATGTCATTTCTGCTCAGTCCTATTTCTTGCTTCTATTTTAAAGTGTTATAGCAGTATTGTTTGGCTTTGTCTTCCCTTTCTCCCAATAAGAGTTTCAATCATGTGTGCTTGTTATTTCAGGAGTTAATGCTAACAGCATATTTTTTCATTGTGTAGACTATAGATCCTGTACCCATGTACCCGCATACTTTTCAATTTTAGAATGGGGCCAAAGCTGAAATTCCAGGAAGGTGAGACTCTTGACTCTCCTCAGAGAAGCTCTTGATTCTCTTAGCTTTTTATATTTTAAAATGTTAGATAAAAAGCACAGTTAGATCCCTATTCCTCATGTGTCTGGAAAATCAAGTTGATTAGTGTTTTGTTCTGCTGGATTGTTTGCAGGAGAGAAAGTGCTGTGCTTTCATGGGCCACTGATATATGAGGCCAAATGTCTCAAGATTTCTGGCAAGGACAAGATTCCCAAGTACTATGTTCATTATGCAGGGTGGAACAAGAAGTGAGTCATCCCCCCTTGGCAAGATTTTGTCTTCACATTGGAGTCAGAATTGCAGCTAAGGAACTAATGAAATATGGAGGTAGCTTTAATAACATAAAGAGTGAACTGATTTATGAAGCATCCCTGTCCCCTCCTTCTGTTCCCAGATGATGTGATCGTCTTCATGTTGTCATTATGTTCAACTGGGTGGGCATGAAAATGTTCATCAGGCAAATCATTTTTTAAATTTCTTTCTCAAAAGTTCTTTGCATAACCATGAAAAGCTTATGTGAATTCCTATATCTTGCTATTCATATGATTTCTTCAAAGAAGAAAAAATAATATAGAAGAAAAGTCAAAGGAAAAAAAACAAAAGGCCAATGAGTCTTATGTGTGGGAGAGGTTTAGAGAAGTTGTATTGTTTTGATGTGAGACTGGGAATGGGATATTTTTATTGCTTGCAGTTGGGATGAATGGGTGAATGAGACCCGGATGCTAAAGCACAATGAGGCCAATCTGCAGAAGCAGAGGGATCTCATCCGACAACACGAGGCTCAAATGTGAGTCATGCTTCCATCCACATACCCCAAGGAAATAGAAATCATAAGGGGAGTTTATTAAATTTGGAATCATTTTTTGTGTTTTTCTTAATGAAGAAAGTCAAAGAAGGGCTTGAAGCTCCCCACTGTGGGAGGGGTGAAACGTAAGAGTGAAGGAGCACGAAAGGAAGGGGAGCCTGAGCATCTCTCCAACACACCACTACGGGAAGTAGAACCCTCTCCCTCCACTGCCTCTGCCACCACCTCCTCCTCAGCCATCAAGCGCAAGAGACCTCGCAGTGATGCCACTATGGAGTCGGTCTGTCTCTGCTCTCACTGTCCAGGGGCATGTCATTTTTTCTTTGCTCTGAGCAGGGAACTGCTGCCCCAGGAGAAAACTTCCTGCAAGATGGCTTCAAACCTGGCCCTCCTATGCTAGCCTGAGATCCTGACCACTAAGCCATGATATCATGATTTCTTAGTCACAATACGACTTTATGGGAACATGGACCTTGTAGGCATATTTTGACCAGGATATTATGACTTCCTCTATATTTATGTTTTGGTACACTTTTTCATATGTATGCATTGTTGTAAGAACTTCTGCCTCTCCCAAATTAGAGACTATTTTTTAAATCTTCAGGGTGAGAGCTATAGTTATTTCCATGACCATCCTGAGAAAGAGTATAGGCCAAGAGTGAGAGAGAAAGAAAACAATCTACCTTGCTGGATTCATTTTTTAAAGTACCACATGCAGCATGCTACAGAGAATGTCAAGGATTTCATGACAGGTTGAGTGCTTCTCCAGCCTGAAGGAAATGAAGTTGTTTATGCATTGTTTATAGGAGGAGGAGTATGTGTCAAAAGTGGAGGTGAAAATAAAGATTCCAGATGAACTGAAGGCCATCCTTGTTGAAGATCTCCTTTCCATCACTGTCAATCACAAGGTCTCTTTTTCTTTACTTTTTCCTCCTTCAGTGTCCTTTATGAATCCCTCTTAGGGTCTGATTGAGATTGGAAACAGAGTTCCTGATGATGGTTCTTTGGTATTGGTCCATGGATTCAACAACAGTGCATCATATATTTTTGTGATATGGTTTTGGTTATAATGGATTTGATGCTGAACAGGCAGCCAACTATACTCATCCATAACTGGAATTACATTAAATCATATAGAGTCCCAGATGTTAGGAGACTTTTTTTTCATAATCAAGAATGGCACAATCAATCAGGGTTTTGGAGTTGTGATCTTTATGGGTTTTTAATTTGAGGCACTGTTGTCCCAAAGGAGTAAAGAGTAAAGACCATGAAGTGAAAGTTGGAAAAAGGGAGAAGGAATTCATCTCCATGACTTGTATCTGGTATATCTCTTTTGACTCAAAAAAAATGCAAAAAAAGAGAATCGTCACAATTTGGGATTCTTGATCCTAATTGGCAGTAACCTGCTCTAGCAGTCATACAACTTCCTTGGCTCTTCCTTTCCCTCTTCTTGTTATTGTATTTAAACTCAAATGGAGATGTCAACTATGAAGACTGTGTTTATTGCTATTATCCAAAACCTTGGGATTAGCATTTACCCCTCCATTGCTCAGAGTCTTCTGACAGTCTAATTCCTAGAACCAGTCTGTGGTAATGCCTCCATTACATTCTGAAAGGATTTCCCCTCCATCACTGGAAATTTTGGACATTTTAGACTTTGGCTAAAGGAAGGGGCTTGAGGCAACTCCAGTCATTCCTTTTTTCTGCTCAAATTTATTAATGTGCAATTCATTGTAAGTATAGGCAAACTGAAGTTCTTAAAAAAAATTTTCTGATTTTAAAGTAATTTCATCATTAGTTGTTACTAGCGAGTTTGTTTGCCCGAAGAGCAAACAAACTCACTATTGTCGCGCCTTTGGTGCTCAATTACCTGGATAGTGATTCATTCCATAATTTCTTTTCAAAGAGGCAAAAACCTATTGAAAGTATGTGCCCATCGGAATGTGTATTGAGAGAGAACAAACCTATATTTTCATTGGAATAATTACTCACATTGTTTCTTGTGTGCCTAGCTTCAAATCTCTTCATAATCTGCCCTGATGGGTCATATTTCAAAAGTAGGACATGTACTCAGCAATCAAACAGGAACTTCTGCTCAAATTTTCAACTTTCTTTAGTTCTCTCCTTCATTCAGAAACTTTCTGGAAAAAGCACGTTTTCAAAAAAAATATGCCCCCAGGGCATGTATCCAAAACTTGACATTTTTCCTGAACTCAAAGTCTCAGTAGGTACGTCCATGTCACATTCCAGCTTTCTATGTTTATCCATTTGACTGAAGCAAAGAGAAAATATTTGAAAATATTTCCCCCTGAAATTTGTGCCCCCTGGGCATTTACCTCCAAAGCCTGAATTTTTCTGAATTCAGATTCTCATAAGGTACTTATGTATCAAGCTTCACCTTTCTATCTCTGGCCAATTCACTAGGACAAAAAAAAATTATTTGAAAACGTCACCCCCCAAAAGTATGCCCCCAGGGTAAGCATCTGAAACCTGACATTTTTCCTGAAATTTGTGTCTCAGTAGGCATGTCCATGCCAAGTTTCATCTTTCCATGTCTCTCTGTTTGACTGAAGCAAATATATATAATTGAAAACATCTCCCCCCAAAATGTGTGCCCCCATGGTATGTACCTTCAAATTTGGATTTTTTCTGAACTCTGCATCCCAAAAGGTACATGTGTACCAATTTTCAGATTTCTAACTTCTTTGGAACATGGTTAGAATTAGTGTCAGTCAGTCAGTCACAATTGTCTATATATATTAGATGTGCAGAGACTTGATACCTCTCCAGTATTGTGTGGAGGCATTCAAATAATATATAACAGAGTATTTTGCATGTCTTCAGTCCCTTGTTCAGCTTAGGTTTCTATTGTCTTACCTCATTTTCCATTCCATAAAAAACAACTATAGTGGTGAGACATAAAATTCCAATTTTAAAAGCAGAGTTTCAAATAGGTATTCATTTTCTTGGGAAATAGCATGATTGCATGCGAAGCAAAAGTAGTAAAATGTGGTGGCATTTTGAATGACCTGAGAAGCAATTTAGGTAGTTACTGAAAATTTCCTGAATGAAGTGGTACTGAATTTGAGTCTTATTGAAAATGATGATTGAATACTCCATGGTGGTGGGAATATTTTGGACAAGAAAATACTAAAATAGTTAGTTGCCAAGGTATTAATTGAATTTGCTCTGTTCTGAAGTCTCCACTTGACAAAACTTGCACTAAACAGGTGCACTCAGATTAAGTTCCTTTCTCACTGTCTTATTGTGCTCTTTTCAAGTTATGCATGATCGGTCCTCTAAAGTGTTTGGTACAATGGTTTGTTAAAACCATTATTATTGACCAATGCATACCTGTGTCTCTCTCCTTTATTCCATGGAAGCATTTGCCTGGTAATTTCTTTTTGCTCAAGTGTTACAAGTGTGTTCCCCAGGGTGAAAGGAGATCTCCCTGAGGTCAGTCTTCCAGGGAGAGTAAGGCATTATATCCCATCAAAAGCAAAAAGATATTTAGAGGCTTCAGTTATTCTGGCCATTCAGCCCTCCTTTGCACATGCAGACTTTCATTCTGCTTATACTCAGATGGATGGTCAGGAGGGCTATTTGAGATACCATCGCAGGTAGATGCATGAGTATTCAGAGCTCTATCTTCAGAATCACACCCAGCAGATGATACAGACATCACATGGTTTGAGATATTGGTCATGTTGTAGGGGATGCCACAGCCACAGTTGTTTTATATGGCTTCCCCAAACTTGGGCAAGGGCCTTCATTCTGGACACAACGTTTGCATCACCTGGTTAAAAGTGCCTGCTCAGAACTTTGTCCTCTCCAAAGGTGGCTGTGTCTGCTTCACTTGGTCATAAATTTTGGGTGGTGCCCTGTCATGTGTGAAGATGATGACCCCTGTTGCTGCAATTCAGGAAACATTTTTCAAGAGCTCAGACTATTTATTTGTCTCCACCAGTGCCTCCTACAACTCATGCCCCAAACGAATTGATCAACTTAACAATTGTGATATCATGTAGTAACTGTGAATTTTACAAGACATCTAGAACCACTTTCCTTTTGGTAGGCTGTGAGATATGCTAGGCCCTTTGACATGAAAGAGCTAGACTCTATATTTGAAAGAGCTAAACCAAAATTATAATTTAAAACTACAGTTATGGCAACTCACAAATCGAATAGTTAACAAGTTGATGTGTTTGACCCTCAGTTGGTGTTGTTGCCAGCGAAAGTGACGGTGAAGAAGATCCTTGAGGATTATGTGAAAGCAAAGTCGTCAGCCAAGGCCACTACCCCTGGCAAGTCGGTTCTACCTTTCTGCTTCCATCTCTTAAGATTTTCTCATTTCTATCAATGTATTTGTAATGTACCCTGGCAAGCATGGAAGTCCACTCACCAGGATGGATGTTTTTTTCTTTTTTTTTTTTTAACCTTCCCTGGGTTGATGAATGGCGTTGAACGCACACACACAGGCAACGGGATGCAGAGGAGATGGTGAGGGGATTGAATGAATATTTCAACCACTGTGTCACAACTCAGCTCCTGTATCAGCCTGAGAAGCATCAGTCTGCCCAGGTTGACTTTCTCCCCCCTTTCCAATTGCATTTTCCAAGTGAATACATTGTGTTTAAATGTAATAATTTTTCAGAATTGTACTGCATAAAAATTAAATGGAACTCTAGAATCTGATATTGACTTAGTGAGAGACTAATTGCAAAGTTCCATAGATTCTCTCCCTCCTTTTCCCTTCCTTCTTGTGATCTATTATGATGTATAATGGTTTTCTTTTCCTTTCTCTCAATTCCAGTTGTTGGAGAAAGGAGGGCATGAGAACCTAGCAGAAGTGTTTGGTGGGATCCACCTCCTCCGACTTTTTGGTGAGAATTTCATTTTTACAATTCTTTTCACTTGCTTACTCCTCCTTGGAATGAGGACTACTGCCATCATTCCATGATGCATTTCTATTGGGGGCTGTACCTATGCATTGGTACCATCGGCAAGTTTGCAAGCTGCCGTTACCGATGCAAAAGGAAGAACGTGCCAAAGGAAGAATAAGAAAACCTTAGTTAACACAGCTCGGTAAACCATTCTCAATGACAATAGGGAAAATTACAGTTGTCATTATGTATCAATGTCATCATCGCCAGTGGCGGCTTGTGATATTCAGGAATAGTGAATCGTTACTGGTGATAGAGTATGTCCTGGTCTGCTCTATCTCCATTGATGGCCTATTTCTGGTGAATATCATGAGCTGCCATTGTTGAATGCATAGTTAGCTTCTTTAGAGATAACGGAACGGAAGGTCTGTGCTCTGATCGAGGCAAGTAACAACGGAAGTATTCCATACCGGTTCTTTGGTCTTTATCTCCTTGTCACAATTGGCACCAACCAATGAGATTATAATCAGCCATCGGTCCATCGACAAAATGTGGCCTCAAGTACAGCCCTAATTTCTATGAATCATAACTGATGAAAAGAGCTTGATTGCCGTTTTCCTTTGGGGTGGATTGGGATTGTAGTGAAGTTGGGCGGATACTTGGCATATACGCAACTGAATGAGTCCCAGATGCAACACCTGGTCTCCTGTCTTCATGAATTCCTCAGGTCAGTTTCCCTCATTCTCTTCATTCATTCATCCTTTCTATCATCTATTCCATAATTTACTTTAACATTTACTTTAGTAACAACAGAAGCAGCTTAGCCTCTGCAACTTTCCATAATCCCTCTTGAGATACTTTTCATGTTGATGTGGGAGTCCTCTTCTTGCCTGGTAATAGAGGAAGACAAGTACAGTAATTCTCCATTATAACAAGAGGTGGAAGACCATGCAGTGTTGAAATGTGGTCTAAGTAGGATTTCATCTCATCCTGCAACTTATTTATTCATGAGATTAATAGTTGGAAACCAGGTGTACATCAGGGACCTTAGACTTTTTTTTTTTAAAGGATTCTCATGCTACACCATGTGTGAGGAGGCTAGCATAGAGGCAGAACATTGTTGAATAGGTGGTATTATGAGCTCACTCTTGGGCAAAGAAAGTTCCCATCCCATCTCATCCCATAGGGCACATGTCCCAAGTTAGAACTACTCAGAAGTTCTTTCTCTATGAAGTAATCAGAGATTTTCCTTGTAGCATCCATCAGAACTATCTTATAGTTGGGCCTTTTGCCTTCTAGATTATTCGCCATCATGCATGAGCAAACAGGACGAGGAAGATAATCTTTCTGCTGGTTTGGTTTAATGGGACCATGAAATATGTATGGAATGTGTAGCCAAATTTAATCTGCTGGTACAGATTGATATGGGCTACATCTTAAGTTGCCAAGATGGATTTTAACAAATATTAAGATGATTCAATATGAATGTGCATAATGGGCCTGAGGCCCAAGAGTCGATTATGAGCATCTAGATGCTTGTGATACCTGGTGATTGCTGATGACCTTCTGCCATACTCTGTGTCCCCATTTAACTCTGGCCATTCTACTTATGCCCTCTTTCTGAACAACAGAGTGAGAATAGACACAGCAGACTCCTGTCAAAATCTTGATTATTGACATGTGCCCTAGAGAGTCATTGCAAAGTTAGAAGACTCTCCTCTGAGCTGTAATCTCATGAATGAATGAACTATGTTCAGTTGGTATAGTATTTATTTTTCACAGCCTGAGTTTCTTCTCCTTTACCATTGCTTCTATTTCCAGAACTCTCCTTGTTTTGATGTAGTTCAGGTGAAACTAACAGTGAGATACTGTAGCTTCTTTGAAACTTTGAAGTAGTGCATTGTGTAATTTGCTTCCAATTCCGCATTTCACAGGCTGATATGTTGAATACATGAAATCTCTCTTTCCTCTTTTCATGGGGTTCCTCCTCCAGGTTCTTGGTGAAAAATGCTGGAACTTACTTCCAAAAAGATGCATACATATCACCCGCACCAGATCCAAAGAAGAAATCTGCTTGACAAAGTCTTCATCTTACCCACTTGACATCACCTGCCTTGTGTTCACGGTTGAGAAGTTGCACGCATCCACAATACCATCTGCATACCTTACTTAACGTCTTTCTTCCCAGTTGTCATTACTGGTGTTTGAAGCTGAGCAAATAAAGGCTGAGGTATTTTAAAGCAGTAGCTATTTTCCTTCACAGTAACCCAATTCCATGAAGTTGAATCTCTAGGTCTTCACTGGAGAACCTTATAGTCAAGATGAATTGACACGCAGAACTCAAGAATGATACAGTTCTGTCTGCAAAATGATTCTTTTATAAAGTTCTTTACAAACTTGTTTATAAAGTTCTAGGAATCCTAGGAAGCCCATAAGGAGGGTTTGTCTCCAGATATGGAATAATTTTAAAGTTTTGCTAAGAAAGCGCTTTCGGCAGGAAATGATCCACCATACTCTACTCTTCACGTACTAAATGACAAATTCACAAACTTTCGACCCCAGGGATGCCGAGAAACCCAGCATCCTCTAATTGAAATCTGACAATGTCATTTTGTCAACAATGCCTCATTTATGGAAAAATTCATATCCTATGGCGTCATGTATATACATAAGAAAAAACATCTATACATAAGTTTTTAGGACAAGTAGCTCATTTCTACATTAGATAAAATGAAAATCTGAGGCACACCATTATTTAAGGGAAAGTCTGCATGTCACAGGATGCCATTGTTTCTTCAAACGTGGATATAAGTTATTTTCAAAGCAACACACGCATGTCTCCCTCTCCTCTCACCCCACGATTCAAGATGGCGTGACAAAGAAGCTGGAAGGAGCCACGGGAAGTTCACCCGGAACTTGAAACAGGAACTAAAAACTCATTCTTCGATGTGTAGGCTTGAAGCTCGAAATAAGAATCGATGGGTGACGCATTCAGAGATGCATCGCTTTCGTTGCCAACCCGAAGGAATTGCATTTACTGTAGTATCGTCGAACTGAATGAGAGATCCCACTCATCCAAAAGCTGTAAGTTGCTTGTCGACTTGTGCTTTCCTGTCCTTGAAAGGACCTTTCTTCCCCCCCCCCAACTGTGGAGAAACCTACTTAGGCGCCCTCGGAAAATCTACCGATTTTATCCACGAAGCCTTCGTCCAAATCAATAACGTAATGGAGAAATAGGGGCGATGGGGATACATGCAGCCCTGGGGATTCCACCCCCGTCTCCAACTCGCGAAGACACTTCTCCATTTCCGATTACTCTCTCCTCTTTATCTGATGGCCACTTCCTCTGATGATCCTACCTCGAATCCCAAGTGCCTCCGATTCCGTCCGTAATCTCTTCGAGGAAAGGTATCGAGAGCTTCGGGAAAATGTTGGAAGGCATTTAGACTGGTATCATTTCGACTGCTAACATTAGGCGCTAATAACGAAAAGATTCTCTTAGAAGTCCTGCATAGTTTCTTCCTCTCGTGCATCTGAAAGAGGACTGGTAGTGCTGTGAAGGCGAGCCCCCACGACGAGTCTCATCGAGGTTGGCCCTAGAATGAAGAAAACCCTAAGGATATTTTGCTCGTGCGTACCGCATAAGACGATGAGTCCTTGAAAGAATTTATTGAGGAAAAGACTCGCAACTCCAACAAATGAAACATCCTGTAACACTGCTTAGGACTCGATGGAAATCATCTGCGGCAAGGTGCCGACTCGAGTGCGTCAACAAAAACCACTAATAGACGGATTCAGTTTGCCCGGGATCACACCCGGGAACAGGTGCACCTAAGAACCGGAGGTATGAGGTCGGAAGCGAAGTTAAAAACTGCCGCCCGAGAGATGACGTGAAACCTTCTTCGAGGCCCGTTGGATCGCTCAGGCTTCGTGTCGATGTCATTCCAACTCCAAAGCAGATAGCAATCTGCTTCAGAGTTGGAATGAGCTTCAACGTGTGGCGCAGATCGTAGATATACAGTTCTCCTCTGTCGTCACACTTGATGATGAGCCGGAAAGCTCCATCATCCAGTTCTAGCAAGGGGCCTGCTATTTGTCTCCTCCATGTGGAAAGATTCTTAAAAGACACTTACGTCTACGGAATCTAGTATCCTTTCGCTCGTCGTAATGCAGACGAGTTAAGCCCATGGACTCAGCGCTGCTTCTATTGCTTCTTCCTAAATGTGATCCACAAGAAACGCTCGGACTATGGGTTGCAGCTGATTGGAAGCTGGTGAATATCGCACAAACCTAGCGATAGACATTCGCCGAAAATCACGGTCCACCGCATTCTTCTCCATTTGCTCTCGGGCACATACAGTAATACCTTGCAACACGCTCGGGAAGCGTTCCTGAAAAACCGAGCGGATTGGGAGGTAGAGTCATAATGTATAACGAACGTAAAACCGAAAGAAGCATGTTGAGAAACAGCGTGTGGCGAGGTATTAATGTCCTTGACTCACATGATGTACCGTCTCGATCACCGCGGATTATTATCCAGCAGGCAGAAGCGACTTCATCGAGGCTATTCGCGAGCGTATCGACACTGTCGGATGCATTTCTGGGCTACGAAGAGATTGGGGCCATGAAAATGCCACCGCGATCCTCGACACCGTTAACCTTTTTCACATACTGTCCCACAGGTGCCGCTGCTTGTAACGAAAAATAATAAAAATCTAGAGAATGAGGGGGTTTCTTTTCGTGCAGATGAGATCTCGATCGGTGCAGAGAGCAGCGGCGAACGAACCGTCTCCGACTGGGAAACTGCGAGACGAGTCCCAAGGGGCTCACTACTTCGCATTGCCGTTCCTAAACGACATAGCGGCTGGTGCGAGCATTCGGTTCTGATTATTCTCTCACGAAGGGTGACAACGGGGAATTCACGGTGTGGACGATCGCGCCCGGTTCCCTCCATGCAAAGGGCTCGGCTCTGCGAGCACTGCAGTCCCATTCGAGTGCAGTTCACCGTCGACAGTGCTCCAACTTGTGACATGTGACAGTCATCGAGCGTAGGGTAAAGGCGCCAGTTTGTGGACAGGTTAAGGAAATTTTCCTTTTGAAAATTGCATTGCGGTCGTTGGGGTAACAGAGAAACCGCTTGACTGGTTTCAATGGGAGGCCACTTATCATAGATTGTGCCCATACCATAAAATAAAATATAAAAAATATACTTTTCCAAAAATCGAATTTTAAATGAATATGTGCTGATTTTCACTTGGTTCCTATTTGTGGACAGCATGGTTTCAGTTTTTGGTCATCCATGGACATAGTTTGTGGACACCAGTTTTTGCCAACAATTATGAACGTGCGTAGGCCGAATAGAAAAATATGGGCATAAGACACGTACAGCAATTATATTTATCTTCAATGATGTCCTGTTAAGAAACATCATTAGAAAAATTAAGGAATTCAGGAATGATAGGTCTAAAACTGAGCAAAAATGTCCAAGTTCACTAATGCTGATCGGTATGCATAATTTATATTGTGGCTGACAGGCAAGTGCAAAATATGGAGCATTTAAGGAAATAAATTTTCGGCATGAATTTTGTGAAATGGCAAAAAAAACGCAAAACTGTCCACAAATAGACGCCCGTCCACAAACTGGTGCCTCTACCCTATATTACCGTAATCTTTAGAAGCCTAAATTTTGGGGAACACGTTCGTCTAAAAGCTCGAAAAGCAGAGTTCTGGGTCAGCTGGAAAGGAAGCAAAATAACTTGTTTACTCGAATTGAGGCATTTCCCTTCGTGAGATCTACAGGTGTACCACGGAAGAAACAATACTGTCTGTAATCACTAGCTTTACACTGAGAAGCTTTCACTAATCTGATCTCACAATGTTCCCCTATGGAATCAGTTTAAGAGAGACCTTAATTCCATAGACGCCCATTACGAAAACGATTCAGTTTAAAGTTAAACGAATCTGTGCATGTCACCCATTGTCTGTCTTGTAAGATATCAATAGTTCTCGACTAACTTAACGTAGAAATTGTTCGATAAAAAAAGGTTTTATAAAACCTACAAAGGCCTTCAGGTACGCTCTCATCCGGATCCTCTCGAGAACAATCATTATGCAGAAGCTTCTCTATTAGCAGACACCAGCGGACTAAGACAGCCTCCCTCCGACGACTACGTCGAGTGGCACAGTAAAGGGAAGGTGGAGGATTATCTCTCTCCTCGATCAGATTGTTAATGATAGCGTGCCTGCCGCTCTTCTCTGACAGTATTTTCAGACGGTCTCACATTTCGTATCGGTATGCGTTTGCCGAAGGTACAGCTGAGTCCCGTCGTCGAGGGTAACGAAACGACCCGGCTGGGCAGAACGAGTCTCCATCCCACGATGGCTTTCTTAATCGTCGGCGACGAATCGTCGATGGCAACTGCGTCTGGCGACGGACGTCATCGGCAGGGATCGGTTCGTTTCCATAGGCTGCCATGGACTTTCTAATCGGTAAGGATGAGAAGTCGATGGGATCTATGACTGGCCGTCGTTGTCGCAATCGGACGAGATTTAAGGCGAGGGGAGGAGGACAAGGCAGCAATAAAAAATCTCTCTCTCTGTTTCCTGTCTTGCTTCTCCCATGTCATTTAATTACCAGCTGCCCCATCTCATTGTCCTCTCCTCCCTCTCTTCTCGCGTCCATCGCCTTCTATAATATGATGGAGAGAGGGGAGGGTGTCGTCGTGGAATTGCACCTCGGTCTCGGGTTAAATACGCCTCCATCTGATTCATTCCTTCAGTCGCCTTCTTTCTGTCCGTGCCAGCCGATCTTAACATCTCTCCGAGACGCTCTTGCTTTTCCGAGATAAGAATTTCTCTTCGACTGCGATATATGTACTGCAGAGGATAATTAATATAAAAAAAAAGACGAAAAGGGCTTAATTGAGCTCATCTGGAAGATGCTTGGAGCCAAGCATCATCGATACGAAGGGAATTCTTTGCTCGTTAGATTTTCGACGCTTCCCGTGAAGACACATTCTATTGCTTCTTCTGGCCCAGAAAAAATACGGGAAGAGCCAGGCGATTCAAATATTTGTCTTTGATGCGAACAAAGAAAATAACTATTTGGAACGAAAAGAGCCCAAGGTCTATCTCGTTCTACATCGCTTCAGGTTTGTCCCGCGCATCTCCTACTATTCTACTGGCCTACTAACAATGGAGGATCCCACAAAAAAAAGTGGGAACACGAAGTAGAAGTTAA